TTGGGGCCCACAGGAATGTTAACTGATTCTATCTTTTGTTTTACTTGGAAAGTGAATCCCCTGTCTGTTCCCGTCATATAGAACCTGACTCCCCAAGACCGTCCATCGGTCCGTGAAGAGAACTTCGTGCCCTTCGGGGTGAAGGAAATGTTTAGTGAATCTTCTCCCTTCTGACTTCGTCCCATCTTGATAAGATCCCAACTGGAGCTAGGCCTCCAGTACGCGTCCCCGGTTGTTTCACATCCCCATTTTGCACAAAAAAAAGATTCTAGTCCCCCACATTTGTAAGTCGTATCCCAGTCCCTTCCGTCCCTAGGGCATACATACAGCTGGGTCTGCTGTAGCTTTTTATAGGCTGACTGCGTTCGGCAGCCAGGTGAGTCGGCTATATGTTGTCCTTGGGCTGTAACCCCAGTCTGTATGGCCCGTTTCTTTCGAGACATAACATTGTAGTGGTCTGCATTTAGGACAGAGGGCCTATTGGTGTGGGTGTACTCGGGGATATCCCAGGTATCCAACCTAGCGACTAGGTCGCATATCTTGGGAGTCAAGTCGGGCCACCATGTGTTAGGAGCGTGTTGAGCAGTCGTGGACCAGACTACATCCCCAGTTTGGGAAATGACCTGCCAGGTAATTTTCTTAACCATGTGGGGGCTCTCTGGTGATGCCCCTCCTAATGTCAGGAGGAGGACTATTAGGGGGATCAAGGGGACCCCCAGGTGAGTCTTATCTTTAGTGGTTTCGGAGAGCGTTGAACTTTCCATGTTGATGTCTCGGTGCTCTCAGCTTCGTCGGGTTCCTTGGCAGCCTTCACATGCGACGCGTGGACCCAAGCCGCTATCCCGTCAACCTTGAGTGCGGTGGGAGTAGTTAACAGGACGGTGTATGGTCCTTTCCACCTCGGCTCTAGGTTCTTGGATTGATGGCGTCGGACCCAGACAGAGTCCCCAATCTTGAATGGGTGAGGCACCACCGGGCGATTCAGTTGCTCCTGGTAGGCATCCGCCAGGGGTTTCCACACCGTCTTTTGCACCAGCTGGAGGGCTTGGAGGTGTACCTCTAGGGTAGGGCCAGTGGCAAAAGAGGAGATGTCAGGGTGAAGGAAATTTACAATTGGTGGGGGAGCCCCATACATAATCTTGAACGGGGTTAGGCCATGAGGCCCAGGAGTGTTCCGGGCTCGGTAAAGGGCTAGGGGGAGTAGGAGCACCCAATCTCTAGTGCCAGTTGCAAGC